TTCCTTGAAGAAACAGCGTTTTCAAAGTTTTCGAAATTCAACAGTTATTGTGAGTAAATTCTAGATTTTTTTTCAGAAATTCGAATTTGAAGAGTAGGCTTCTTATGGAAAACTCATCTGGAACGCTCAGGTGGAAAAAGCGTTTCACAAATCCAGACTGTCCCAATGGACATAGACACACAAAAGCGTGCCATCCGATATCTGTGCAAAGTTGAGCCCTTGTTCAAGGAGCAAAAATTACTACCACTTTCTTTCTTATTCATACTCGAAACTGTGTTTCGATGTTGTTATTGGTTTCACTCGCCAAAGCGACAAATTAAGACTGCCTATTCCCTCATCAAATTTGATTAAAAACGCATTGATCTATCAGTTCAGGAAATCTGTGAAGTAAGTTCTCATTGACCAGGTGCTTTATAGTGTTCAAGTGTACTTTGATAAAGATATGGATGGAATTCTGAAATAAAATTATTTCCTGTTCAAGCACTGCTTATGTTGATTTTAATAGCTCCTGCAATTTTGAAAACAGTGTCTGTTCATCTTATTTATTTATATATTTTATCTATTGACTTCCTTATTTACCTGTTAATGTCTGACTATTCGTTCATTTAAGATGTATATAAATATGTATGTGTGTGGTATTTATGTGCGTTTATATATGCATATTCATTTATTTATCTGTAATTGTTTTAGCTGTGCACTAAAAATCGTAACCATATTTCAGTATGACACATACATCAAACCAATGTATATGTATAATGTATAGTTATTATACATGAATAGCTTTGTCAACGACTTTATACTTTGGTCAATAAAGCATATTGGATTTGATTTGATTCGATGGTTAAATCTGGAGTTTAGGTCCCAAACAAATCAATTGGATTTATGTGATGATTGTTAGACCAATGATCACTTATGGAGCAATTGCCTGGTGACCAAAGGCTTGACAGAAAATGGCTCAGGAGAAGCTCTCATTTCTCAAGATCGTGAAATTTCTAACATGGCGTTTTCACATCTGATTTTGAGTAATTGGAGACTGTGCAAATTTTTCCTTTCCACCGAGAAAGTTGTATATTTATGGTCAACAGTTTGAAGTTAGGCCTGGTACTAATTGTTTGAAAGTAATCTTGTGCTATTGTGATGAGAGAATTCCAGTTTCCAACACCGTATAAAGTTTTTTATCGTCAGCATAGTTCATTATATGTTATTGAGGTATACTGTGAATAGAATTGGACCAAGTATTGTGCTTTGAGGAACTCCAAATTCCATCAACCTGTACTTACTCAAAGTATCATCTGTTTTGACTAACTACAGAATATAAGTATTCTGGTTGTTGACCCAATATGAGGATCAATATCAGGAGTATCAGTTGTCACACATTACAAAATGCCAAATAAAACTCCAGAACGGCCAATCCAGACTTCCTAGCCACAATTTTCGCGAAATAGTCAAACCCATTCTGTCGATTCTCCGATTCTCTTCTGATTAATTGTGAACACAACGGCTTGGAGGGGTCAGGCATATCCCAACCTCTGACGAGGCCCACTCTGCTGTTTATCTCCGCAAACCAGCCGGAGTAATTTCCATCTCAATCGTTACTTTTAATAGCACACGGATTGTTTCCTTGATTGCAGTGACACGTTCAATCACTTTTCATTTAGTAAGATGACTCGTTAATTGAGTTTTAGGGAAATCGCTGTTCGTTTTGTCTCCGCCAAGTTGCTACCACTGCTACACCAGAGATAAGAGAGATGGTTTTCATTCCATTTTCAATTCGAGTCCGTATTGTTCGTGGCCGTTTTCGATATATTTTTTCAGGAGTGTTCGGCTCTCATGTAGCGATAACCCTTTATGGCACAATCATTTATAGTCGCTCCCTTGCTGAGGACAACTGTAATTTTGAAAAGAGCAGTTGGATCTAAATGTTTATAGAATGTCGCTTATAAACTACTATGATGAGCAAGAAGCTGGAAATCTTTGAAGCTTCAACCAAATAACTCCAAGTTCGTGTTGGTGAGTCTATTCAACCTTCACTACAAAACGGAAAGGCTTATTGATACTCCCAACTAGTCAGAGTTGAATAACTACATTCAGATTCTCGAAGTGGTCCAATTATTACCAAATGCTGAACACCTGATCCGGCCAACAAACAACTTCCTTCATCAAACCTGGAAACAGATACATCAAGTCAAATGGATAAACTTCATGATAACACATTTATCAAGCTTAATAAACAACACCAGCCTATCATACCAGTAATATCGTTCCCAACAGCACAATCGCACAAGTTTTCCAAACTCCTGGTGAACACTATCAAAAACCAAATAACTTACTCATCTTTCTTCTGAATCCAAAACTCATAGGAACTTATTGGAAACATTTCCAATATTCGACTTCCAACTGACTCCAAATGTGTTTCGTTCAATATCACAAATGTATTCATAAGTCCTCCTCTAGAAGGATCAAAGAACTCATACATAGTCTTTTTCTTTATGCCAAGGATATCTAAACTCTGCGAGTCCGGAGAAAAAGTATTCACGTTATACTGTTAACTGATGACTACTTCATTATATTACGTTGGAAAAATATCTTGATCGACATTTGTTGAACACAAATGATCTTTGGCGTTGCCATCCAGCCCGAAGATTTCTGAACTCACATCTGAACAGCACTTTGCCATACACTGTTTTTTATTACTTGGCAAAAATCTAAAAAATATAGTATCTAATTTAGATTTTTACCTTTTCTATATAAGTTCTGTCAAGGTCAGCAAAATGTTATGGTTGTGTAATGGTTTGAAAATAAGGCGTAGTTTTCTGTGAAATTTTATATTTTTTTTAAAGACAAGATGATTTTTTTTTAATATAGTAGCATGAATCAGAAAAACTAGAAGAAGTATAGTGTGTGGAAGTCTGTCAAAAAAAATCCATATTGTCTCCAACCCTCTTTTTATTTATTACTGTGGTGCGGTGTTAGCAATGATCTCTCTTTTTCCGTACACTTGTCTCGAATGAATTTGATCTCCAGCGATTCAGATCCAAGGTGATTCAGATCGCACAGGCACCGCTCTCATAGCACCTAAAGGAGTTTTTTGTAGTGCTTGTGTTCCGTTCTTGAAAAAAAACAAAGCTTCTGAGCATACTTGGGTTATTCATTCTGTTAGTGCAATATGATAATCGGTAATGTATTTTTGATCATAAATCAGTAACGTTGAAAAATCAACAATTGTTTTCTCATGAAAGCATCCACTGAGCAACTGTGCAATAAATAATTGAGCACCATCTCTCACATCCTTGCTCCTCAGACACGTACCAATAAACTTCTTCTGCAGAAAGTACTTGTTTCTCAAGAACCAAAGTAAGCAGTCGTTTACACAGAAACATTGGTAGATGTTAACTCAGCCGTTCTCTCGTAAAGGAAACGTTTTAGCGAACGTATTTTGAGGAGAAATAAAGGTGAGATTTAACGTGAGTGGGCAGGACCGGAGTTGGTTGTTTTGAATTTCGGAGGTAGAGGTTGGATCCCTTACTTCTGAAAAATTAATAACCTCCAAAGGTATCCCCAACGCGTGACTCCATGTGCAGCGATATTTGCGAATATTTTCCGGCGACTTTCCGAATCTGGAAGCTTTGAAACAAATTCTGCAGTAGGAAGGCCACGGACTAGAACTGTAGAATTGGAGGAGGCGGTTCTCGAAAAAATTGGTGAACATCCAGAGACAAGTACAAGAAAAATTAGTCAAACTTCAGATGTGATCACATGACAGTTTACAGAATTTCAAAGGAACAGCAATTATATCCTTATCATATTCAGCGTGTCCAGACACTTACGCTACGTGATTTCCAACCACGTATCGAATTTGCGCAATGACTTCAAAGAAAAGTCGAACAACATCCGCAAATTTTATCGAAAATCCTCTTCACAGATGAGGCTGAGTTTTTAAGAAATGGTATCATGAACTTCCATAACAACCACAACTGGTCGGTAGATAACCCACATGTGATAACGCAAACTCATTTCCAAAACAGATTCTCTTTTAATGTATGGGTAGGCATAATTGGGGATTATTCAATTGGGCCCTTTTTTCTCCTCTCACGTTTGAATGGAGATGCCTACCTACATTTCGTTGAACACGAGCTTCCCCAACTCATGGAAGATGTTCCCATTGGTCTCCGAAATCACTCTTGGTTTATACACGATGGAGCTCCTGCTCATTTTAGTGTGATAGCAAGGAATTTTTTAGACGTAGCATATCCCTAATTGGCCCCCGTGGTCAACGGACCTCAATCCCGTCGATTTTTTTCTTATGGGGACACCTAAAATCACAAGGTTTTGCCAGCCCCATTGAAAACGAGGAAATGTTGAGGGAACGCATCATAGCTTGCTGCGAAACGATGAGAAACACTCCGGGCATTTTTCAACGGGTGCGGAATTCTTTGATGAAGAGAGCAGAAGCTTGTATTACTGTTGAAGGTCGTTACTTTGAATAGTTGTTGTAATAGTTGCTTCGTTCAATTTTTATATGTTTATTTCTGACCGGGAATGAAAACTGAACCATATTTTATTTATTCACGTCATTACAAATAATAAATGTACAATTTTGAAATGTTCCTTGAAAATTACTTCCGCCACTGGAAACAATTTCTTCTTTTGTATGGCTGGAGCTTCTGTTCACTACAGTCGAGGTACCTGCCTCTTCTGATGACAAAGTAGACAACATACGCGCTGTTTTATTTTTCAATTCGATGCTATCCTCCAAATACCCCTCCGCCACCGTGGAACTTTTCCAACCTCCGTGTCTTTTTAAGTTAGTCATAGTTGCTCCTGCATTGGCTAGAGCAGTAGCAGAAGTGCGACGAAGGCAATGTCCCGTATAGGAAGATGAGTTTGACAATCCTAAATACATTGCGATTTTGCTGGGGATTTTCCCAAACATGTTTTTTCCAATTGGCTGAGATGTACATTTATTTTGTCGGAAGCTCAAAAAAAATCGTTCAATACCTTTAGGACGCAAAGAACTCTTTTTCATCCACAACTGTAAATTTCTTCGATACACCAGTTTTACTTTCCGGTACGTTCACTACCATAACGGAATCCCGGTCCTCTATATCCGATATCTTCATATTCAAAAGTTCCTGATTTCTGCATCCTCCAAAATAACCCATAATCAAAACAACCTATAACAAAAAAAAGGAAATAAATACACACAAAAAGGAAAATAAGAAAAAAATTACCTTATGCAATAAATGAATATCATTAGGAGCGTCCTTTAGGAATCTGATAACATCTTTAGGAGATAAAACAGCAGACTTTTTCGGCTTATAACTCTTACTCTTCCGTTTCAAAAAAGCCTGTAGTTCATTGAACTTAGTGATATCTCGTTTCTCATGTATAGTCACCATCGATTTTAGCATTGACCATTTAGTCCATAAAGAATTCGGACTATACGTTTCTGACTGAAACGAATAGACACAATTACTACCAAATCTACCGAAAAACATAGAAAATTCCTTACCAGTTCTTGAAAATATGTCAGAAATACAGTTTCAGTGACATCTTTTGGCATAACATTTTTCCGTGTCAGCCAGTCCAGATATATCTTGTATTCTTTTTGGTATACGGCTTCACTTTTCGATGGAATTAATGATTCTCTTGCTTGTTCAGCTTTTTTCAAAATATCCTTCATTATATTTGGGGTAGAAAACACGTTTTCACCGCAAACACAGCTTGATAACAAAGTTCTGTTTATAAACAAGTAACATAGCAACAACCTAGCAACAAGAAAACTCTACTATAATCAACGGTACCTGATTCAAATATACCGGGAAGGTAGTGAATTGTACATTTTTCCGTTTCAAAAATGAACAAAATTTTATTGAAATCGGTCAGAAATAAAATTATCTATGTACCACGGGAATTAATGAGCCTTAATAACCTCAGGCAATTGCTGTCCCTCGGGCCAGAGGCCCTCGGGACGCAAACTTTGCCATCGGTAATTAAGGCCCTCCTAATTCCCTTGATACATAAATAACTATTATACACGTATATAATTTTATGGTACGTCATATATTAAAATTCGATATATTCTAATAATAACTTTTTGAATACATGTTACATGTTTTATTTCATCAGGTAACTTATTGAAACTATCTAGACCTCTAAAGAATAATGAATTCATTCCACTCTTATAATTTTTTCGGGATATATAGAATGTATGAGATGTTCTTGTGTTATATGATTGACGGTCACTATTTCTAATTAAATATCTGCTAAAATAGGCTGGTTGTATCCCACTCGTAATTTTGAAAATAAAAATCAGTACCGGCTGCTACTGTAGAGTATTCAACATAGATTCAATAGGGGTATAGTGGTTACATCTCAAAGTATATCTCATACCTCGATTTTATAGTTTCTGCAACTGTCCCGTTTGATTTTGATTAAATAGATACATCAGTCCAGCACATTAGTCACAATGTGGCCTTATTATGCAATTGTAACATGTTAGTCTAGTAAAGGTTGATGAAGATTTTGAAATTCTAGAGATCAAATAAATTTTCTTACATATCTTTCTACTGGTAAATTCAGCATGCTTATTCAACTACAATTAATGGTCTATAATAAATCCTAGGTACTTAATTTCTTTTACATTTGTGAGTTGATTATTGAATATGCTAATATCGACGTCGTTAGTATCAATCTCCCTTTGATTCTAATTTGATGTAACAATCACTGCCTCAGATTTATTGATATTCACTTTTAGATATAATTCACTGTTCTTAAATGATATTTTGATATTTTGTACAGCTTCTTTTAAATCACTGTTTTTTTGTTTATACAAAGGTATCATCAGCAAATAAATCAATATGGTGTGAAACAGGTACATAGTTGACATCATTTATATAGATAGTGAATAGCAGTGGTCCCAAAACACTGCCTTGTGGTACACCTATGTCATTTAAAATTTGATTTGACATTACAGCACAAATTTTAGTCCTTTGACTTCTTTGCTCAAGATAACTATCTAACCAGTTTAAAGCTTTTCCACAAACATAACAACGGAATTGAACGAGTAGTAATGAAAAATCGTACCTCCCATGATCGGAAATCAGGTAATTGTACATCCAAAGTATTGGTTGTTCCAACATGGACTTCCCAACTTTGACAATTGATAATGACCATATTGTTGGAGCTATACCTGTCAAATTAGTCAAATAAGTTTTCCATTAGCGGAATCAAGAAAACGCTGGTGCTGGGATATTGGAATTCTCTTGGACGAATCCGTCCCTGAACTCTCCTCTGCAGATCCGAGACTATTTAGTGTATCCTTGGGTCCATAAAGAGCCCGCTTCACAAATGTATACCAACGTATATTCATATATTTATGTTCTACAATATGGAAATATATAATACAAGCCTGGCGAATATATTTCATTTCTCTTGCGAGAAGTGACGTAAGGATATATCTTGTTATCAAAATGTATCTCGGTCTCTTGACGTATACGTGGAGTTTATTCTAATTCAATTTCGTGCTGGTGTTGAGGGCTTTCGAGAGCTTATGATTCATCCCAGAGGCAGCGTGCTTTGAAAAATAGCACATGATTACACTGAGAAAAACGAAGGGAAAAGTAAACGACCGACTCACTAGTTGGAAAATAAACACTCACTATTATTTGAAATTCCTTATGTGCAATAAGGACATGTGAAGCTACAAAAAAGCTTGGAATTGCATGGAACACTGTCATCCACAATGAAGAAAGATGATAGAAATTTTGTTCATCTACTAAATAAAAATGGATGTTTGTTGGTTGGTTAATAAGTGATAAACTTCTACATCGATCAACCGATCGTGATGAAACTTGACATGTGTAAGTAATTTTTCATAGAGAAGGTTTTTAGGCTATCAATTTTTCTGTAACTCGCCAATAGATGGCGCTGTAGAACAATTTTTTTAAAGCACTGTTCTATAACTATATACTACCGTGCATATTTTCAAAGAGTTTTCACCAATGGACAGAGTGAAATTGATAGGTGTCGACATTCTCTTTTCAAAATTGAAATTGATAGGTGTTTACTGCTGGTGCTTTTGGATTTCACCGGCGTATTTGACTCTAAATTCCAATTATATCAACTGATTTAAGCTTATCAATAGCAATAATTAAGTTACTTGTAGCATATTTACTTGGGCGGAAACAAAAGATGAACCTCAAGTCTCGTGTCCCACCATGCTCCCTATTAGGACCACTTCTGTTTTCTTCATATACTCCAATAATTCTGAAATCCTTTGAACATTGCACTGCTCACTGCTATGCTGATAATACACAGGATTATTACAGTTTTCATCAAGAAGATGTTGAAACGGCCTTTCATTTCATTAATGCAGAAGGCGTCAAACCGTTGTTTTCAGATAATTTCTGGTAAATCCAATATGATGTCATTTGGTCTAATAAGCATTTGTAGATCACACGACGAACTTTGTTGTGGAGACTGTAATTTAAAGTTCAGAAAACACATAAATGAAATACGGAGCCAGGCATTTTTTAACAACGGATGTAAAACTACTCCTATTTGAATCGATAGTATTGATATTTTTTATTTTGCTGACTGCGTCTATAGCCCTAATATGTATCAAAAGTTGTGTACAAAAGTACAAAAAGTTCAGAACTCTTGACCAAGACTTATATATGGTATTCGTAGACGCGAAAGAATTTCAAATTAACTAATTAACACCGTATGATTAAGAATAGAAACGAGAACACTTTTTCATGCTGCTTGTTCGTTCCACAAAATTATAACTACCAAAAACCCTCCTATTTGCATCGTGAAATCTCATATCGCTCTGATATTCATGATGTTGATGTAAGATTCAGAAGCAGACTAATGTTACCAAAGTTGAAAACTGAATTTTTCAAACGTTGTTTTTTACATCAAAACGGCACCATACTCATTGATTGGGTCAGTGAGCGAATCCACGTCGACTCACCAGGCTATCTATCAAAGATTCCAAATTGAAATACAAGAAATATCTTCTTGGTCATTCTCAACTTTTATTTTGTCTTTTTTCGTTGTTTTTCTTCTTCTACGTATATAAACTTGAACCATCCATTCGTGGAAGGATATGTTATGATACGAATACTTGGATGGGATGATAGAGCAGCATTTTTTGGGGTTGAGTGGAAAACTGTTTCAGTGGAGGTTTTGTCTTTCCTTTTTTTACTGTCTTTAGCTCAAGGTCACGAATATAAAGTGTACAATTTATGTCGGATGCAGACATTCAATTTGCTTTGTGTAACGCGGTCAGAAATGACCGTGGTGTTTTTGAAAGGGTTAGGGATTCTCATAACATGTAATTTTTGGTAATAAATCATTTTTGTCGAAATTGTTTCGCTCTATATCTTCGAAACAAAGCGCCCTATCAAGAATATCCTTAGAATAGTCCAAGGAGTAGTTCCTTAAATTTTGGCCGCGTGTTTAATAAACACCTTGTATATAACATTGACTCTACACATAATTTTTGAAAAGAATATGATAATATTGATGAGTATTGAAAACTTTTTTTCAAGGGTTTATACAAATATTGTCAATCTTCAGGAAACAAGTAATCAATTACTTCAAACTGTCACAACAGTTGAAATTTCGCAATTTTCCGTATGACATCCCTAACGATTCTATAAGTATAGAACATCCATCATGAATTGAAGATCGGAGTTGACTTTTGAAATGAAATCATCCTGTGACATCCACTCACAAAAAGAAACTGGACAAAATGAGATGAAACATCAAACTGTCGCATACATCAACAATAAAGACAGTAATTTGTGTTTTTGCAGGGCTGTGATGAGTACATGCAACAACGGAAAAGAAACAAATATACGGTTGAATTGATTTGTTTGCTAACGTTCAAGACGGTGCCTACAACAGAAGTCGAATTTTCAGTATCCGATTTCTTTGGTAGTGATCTTTATATTCTACTGTCGTAGTAGGCGTAGTAAATTTAACAACATGAGAATAATTCATATATTATTTGTGGACGAAGATATATACAGAACACAAGGGTTGGTTTGAATAAAAAAAATTTAACGATTTCAAACGTTTGCCATGGGTGCTAAGAATAATTCTTTTAGCTTTTCAAATTAATGGAAATAAAATAGCAATAAAACATATTCATACTAATGTACTAAAACAAACATTATAAATTTGTTCATAATAGAGAATTGAGAGTTTCTGCAGTATTACAAAGGTGGTAACTTTCGTAATACTGCTTCTGCTACGGTTGAAACCTCTAGTTTCGTAATAAAAAACTATTTGAATTCGACCTATATTCTCAGTAAGATCAACTAGTAGGTGTACTATTGTTATCTTATTTGATCCAGTATAACAGATATTCCTGATAATTGCTCTAGTAAAGCTTTCATGGGAACTGAAAAAATGGTTCGCTATGTAGAATGTGGGTAAAATTTGTTGATTTCATATCAATGGTTGCCAAGTTAGGGCAACCATTGATATGATCAGTTTGATCAGCTGACTTCCAATTATAGATGCTCTCTGAAAC